CATGACATGCGCATTAGCACTCAGTCCAGTGCAGCAGCGTTCAGGTGAAGAGCAGCAAGATGTGCTGAACAAGAGAAAAAAGAGGAAATAAATGGCAGTGCTCCTCTTTGCACTTGTCATCAGGTTGCCACCACGCCATTTCTGTACCAGCTAAATTAGTAATCAGGAAAAGAAGCAGCAATCTCTTTAGCACCTTCGCGCTCCCTGTTGTAATCTGTGATCTGCTGACAAACCTCTCAGGCGACTACAACAACATTTCTATTTATGGTTGTGTGCAGGGCTGAATTGCTAATTGTTGCTGCTTTACTGAGACTGACAAGGAAATATGACAGCTAAAGATGACATAATTTATGAGAAGAGAAGGCTATAAAGCAATTATGAAGGAACACACTTTTTGCTAATGTTATATTTGTAATTTAATATATTCATACTGTTATTAAAACATGACGTTCTCTATGCCGATCTGCATAAAAGCCATTCAGTTCAGGCTCCAGTTCAAAACCAGGCAGCTCTCCAAGAACACACACACAAACTTAGCATGCGATAAAGTGAGGGATCTTTTTTCTAATATGACTGCAGGGATTTATATACTAGATACATTGCCAATATGCGATGGTAGTAAGCACAACAGGACAGCTTTGAAAATGTTAACAAGCTATAACAAGCTTATATAACAAGCTATATAAGTATATAAGTTAAAAATTGTATTATTCTTTGTAGGTTTTATTCCATTTATAAGTGGATCAGAATGCATAAGCATTTAGGCTTTTTTCTTTCATCTTTTGCTCATATACGTGCCCCAATTAGAGGCAACAGAGCTCTGACTTTCAGGTATGGAGCTGTGGCATGGAGCCATGTATCCATTTTCCTTTCAGATGAACAAGAACTAGAATTTAATAATCAGCCACAGTTTTGCCTGGCATGAATCTGATACAGGCTTTTAGGCAAAAATTAGTAAAACAAAGGAGAGAATCATCTGCCATGTTGACTGCAAAAGCAAGAGCAAGAATTCCAGATTCGTAGCCATCATGGTGTCAATTCTTGCTCAGACGGTCATGTTTCATACATTTGATAGCCTGAGATGCCTGCAGGCTTTAATAAAATTCATCTTTTTTTGCTGCAAATCTTTCTCTTTTAAGCTTGGAAGAGGTTACAAATGTGCATAAAATTGAAATGAAAGTGATTAAATCTCACTCTGAGTAAGTATTGACAGATCTGCCATGCTTTTGGCTACTGCGGGAGCTTCTTCTTTGTGGCCCATGCTCAAGATAATGAAAATCAGTCAAGTGATGAAACTTATATATCCAAAGAGGATTTTTGCCTCTGCATATTTGTTTTTAATATTTTGTTAGAACAGGAGCTGCAGTTATTTCAAACCATGTTAACCTGCTTCTGCCAGGGGATAGTTGTAGAATATCACTGCCCTCTGCAGGTTGTCACACAAATTATCTAACGTCTGAAAAGAAATGATTTAAATTAATTTTTGCGCTTAAAAGAAACAAATTTTCCATGCTAACTTCATTTCTATAACTTACAGTTTGCATAATCACATTCTTACTGTTAGATTCCTCCAATGTTGGCTGTGGGCAGGTATTTTGAAACTAATGTTTTTATCTTGTAAGTGAGGAGGGTGGCTGTCACTCATGGGAGAATGGGGAAAAGCACCATCTAGAACTGCACAGATCCTCCTCGTCTTTTTGAAGTGTGGTAGCCTAGACTGGTTTCTACCATAACATGGACAAAACGATTTTCATTCTTCAAGTAGAACAAATTTAAGGCAAAACTATAATGGAATTGAAGAATTCTGTGCTGTGCCGAGCTTGATCAATGTATAAATGTATGTGATGTTATCTGTGATGTTGTTTCAAGTGCAGTGGTCCTGTCTATCTGTGGAATTGTGTTCTTAGGCACTTCTGATTCTAAATTCTGCTATTAACATTATTGCTATTCAGGGCTGATTAGTGGTACAAAAAAATCCTTACACCAAAAGCAAACTGCAACCTCTTCTTAAGTAGATCCTTTTTCTTTGTTTTTTAAACAAGCTACATATTGATAATGTTTACTTCAAGAATACGTTTATTTGTGAATATCCAGGACACACTTCCTTCCTATGTGGTATTCTGTATGTAAAAATAACTAGCAGCCCATATTTATGATGTGGTCTGCTTGTTTATTCCTTTGCAGTGACCTCRAGACACACGTGTGGTTAACGGAAATGGATGTATTTGATATGTGTATTTTGATTCCACAGGCATAGCCCAGCATTGCAGAAATGGCAGGGCCAAGGCACAGCTGTTGGCTCCCCTGCAGCAGGTCTAACTCACGGGCCAGCTGCAGTTGAAGTTTCCTCTTTGTTTTTCCAACTGCAGCCTGTAGCTTGTTTTAATTGTCTGGCATGGGTGCTTGCTGCACACGGAGTGCCTGTCCCCTGCGTGTGCTCAAGCAGGCAGCACTCGTACTTAGGACATTGCGTCATATTATTTGAGGCAGCAATGTATAGGGACAAAGTGGGTCAAATGAGGGCAACACAATTTCTGCCATTCCAGATTTCCGAACTTATAAGGATTTACTTTTGTTTAATGACATCTTTTCTACTTAAACAGAAGGATTAAAAAAAAAAGACATAATTAAACATGTATTATTTAACATACATATATATATTGTTTGCACAGAGAACAATCTTTATTCACTGCTGAAAAATCGTCTATTAACACTGACTGCAGCATAGTATATGTGATCTCTATCTGTTTTCTGTTGAAAGAACGGGGAAATGCTCATCCATCATGGATTAAAGCATGGTGAATGTTGGTAATGTTGAGATTTCATTAGCAATTTCCATTTTCATGTAAATTAATTTGAGAAAAATCCAGTCAGTACCTGCCTTCTGGTGCTAATTGCCCAATAACGCCAAGCTGAGCCTCAGCATTGATTCACTACGTAGCAGTGTCTCTCCCTGCTGAAGTCTTCGAATCAAGACTGAAGCCCTTCTGGGAGGTAAAGTTCTGCAAGGCTCCRAGTTACTAGAGTTGATGCAAGGATACAGCCGTGAAATGCACCACTTAAATAATAAGAGACATGACCTCTCCTGGCCTAACAGTCTTTAGAACCTAGGCTAGAAGAGCCTCCTTCCCCTCCTAAAATAACCATGAAGCCTTTTATTGATCCTTGTATCTAAATTATGGATGATGCTTTCGTCAACTACATTACTGTGCTAAAATAAGAGAGTACCAAAGATAACTTTATTGCTTATGACTCAAATGTTTGGATTCCATCTCTTCACAGAGAGGTTAYAGAAATACAAGCTATCAAAAACCTTTCCTTAGTTGAATTCGCTGGGCATGAGTGTTTCATTGTATTACTGCAAAAATGAAAAATAGCATCCTCTGGTTGAATTGTAAGAAATCTCATCAAAGCAAAATCTCAGGTTCGCTGAAGAGTAGCAAAGCCTGGTGTAAGCCTGGTATGGATTGACACTATATGGATCAACAGAAATCTCCTCTTCTGTAGGAGCTCTCTGCTGCTCTTTATATTACAACATAGAACATATTTACTTTGTAACCTGTTTCATGACTACACATTTATTTCCAATTACATTTTAACTCTCTTTAGCATTTAATAGCATACTGTAGTCTACTGAATACTTGCAGTGCAGCCTTGAAGGATAATGAGTTACATCCTCCTATGTGTTGAACACCTTCACGTCCCAGAGAAGTTAACAGCAATTGAAGAAAGATCAGCGTTTTGTAGCATTTGACCTTGATTGAACAGACAATTCATGCTTGCATAGAGCACGGTAAAGCAGGGMGCAGGGTTTCGGAGCAGTGTGAAGTCATAAAGTTACACAGGAGGTTCTCTTACAAAAACTAGGAAAATACCCAGGARAAAAATTGTCAGTAAAAAAGATAATGAACACTGAGAAAAACATTTATATTTGATTGCATTCTGATAGATGCAATCACTCTCAAATACACTCTCAAAATACTCTCTGTGGAAAACCTTTTTTAAACAAGTATTTCTGAAAAAAAAAGAATAGACCATGTAAAATTAATAGTAGCCTCTAATTAATAGTACYTTCTGACTGACTTTTCTCAGTTCTTCTGTGCATGACTGGTTATACTTCACAGTTATGTGTTTTGTTGAATCCAAGTTACTCAAAAAGGCCAAATTATAAGAGCTAATAAAAATGGCAGTGCTTGGCAAATTTGACCTTTGGGATATAAACCTTATCTCATGATAACTAAGTAATATTTCAAGAATATTGGATTTTATTAGAGTTATGTCCCTACCTCCAGAATTCAAAAGTGGTATCTTTTGTTACAGATGCTTTGTTACAGATGGGAGGGAGGATGTTACCAGTTGAGATGCCTCTGAACTGCCAGTGTTGCCACGACACTGCACAGTGTTTTGCTTTGTATTCAACTCCAAGTATTTACAGTTTCTGCTGATGGAAATGTGTAGTATCATTCATATAGCAGTTAGTGACTGGCGTTATTTATTTATATTTGCAATCATAAGATATAAATTCATGGTCATAATTAGGAAAGCTGGTGCCTTGATTGCCAGATTAAAACTTTCTTGGAAGTTATAAAACTTGAATAAGAATCATTTTTTTTTTAATCCCTCAGATAACCAAATTTACCCATGAGATTTAAGATGTTAGAGAGAATGTCACTGCTTGGAAAAGAGACTTAATAGAAGCTAGTCACAGTGTATCAGCAGACTTACAGACTGCCAGGCTATGAACAATCAAGCTACGGTAATTTTGTTCATAGGAGAGTTAGACCTGGAGCCACCGCTTCAGCTGATCTAACCGTCTGCCTAGATGAGCAAGCACGTGCCTTCCAAAGGGAAGGACCGGACTGCTCAAAATACCAGTGCAAAGGACTTACTGGCTGGTCACTTAGGTTGAGGTGGCTTTCCACATCCAGCAAGAGCAGCAAGCCTTTTCAAAGAGGCTTTCAAATGAGTAGTTTCCTGACTGTTTCCTTGTTTTCTTTCAGGCCCTGCTGCAAAAAAGAAGTACGTCAGTTATAACAACCTGGTTATCTAGTCCGTTTTGTCAGTGAAGCTGCGGAGGGATGAAGCCTTTAACCCATTCAGTCACCCGGCCTGGCACACGTCTCTTCCTGCCTGCTCGGCACCTGCAGCAGGAGGGGCAAGGCCASGCAGGCATCGTGGAGACACGTGTTAGAGGATCCAAGTGTTCTGAACAGCTGCTCTATGAAATATCCTTCATTATTCTTGGCTTAATAAGTCACTGGCACTGCCATTAGGCTGTGACCTTGGACCTTCTGTACGTATGGGAGTTGAAATACCTGAGTACCCAGCTCCTCATGGGTGAACTGCATTTAGCAACAGTGACTTTAAAGGGGCTAATTCTGTCTTTCTATGTACTTCCAGACTGCAAGTTTTTGAACTTTCTGTACAGTTTGTGAGGATTTTTGCATATTGCCATCCATGTTGTTTCGAGTTCACTGTTTGTTTTTTGAATGCACAGTTTCATTGAGGCCCTATTCTCTCAGACCTAGCACATTAAAAAAAAAGCTAAGGATTTAAAAGACCTATGATGTACATGACTTGTATGACCACTATTGTATCACTGCGATCCATATACATTTTTTTAAAAAAGTAAACAAAAGAATTTAAAGACCAAAAACTGTGCTGGCGAAGTTAGCCCCCTCCCCCCAGCCTTTCACCACTCTGACGGGCTGCAGAGGAAGCAGAAAGGAGTTTTGCTGAGTTTAGTAGAGGTCTTGATATTTGGAATGCATGCCAGTAATGTATTTTATGGTACATGTTAATAATTTATGTTTGATATTTGTATTTGTGTTCTATTTTGTTATTTTATTTAAGGTATATGACTATTTTGCAATAATTTCAATAATTCTTATGGTATTTGGAAGAAAGAATATGGCTTTTACATGTCTTGAGGTTTTTCTCTGTTGATGCCCCAACATGACTGACCAGTGTGATAAGGACTTAAAAAAAGCATGTATGTTTTATACTGTTTGTAATAAGTAATTTCGTTAATCTTGCTGCTTATGTGCCAATTTAGTGAAAACAACCTTTGCCGCTAACTCCTCCCTTCCTTTCCATTCTCTCAATCCTGTGATATTATCCAAGAATGTATCAATAAAAGATTTTGGTTAACTTTTTTTTATTTACTCCAATAAATATATTTTTTTAGTTGTTCCCTTTCCCCTCCCCCCTTGTGACTACAATTATTTCATTATGTTCTCAGATGTGGAACTTTAAAAAAGTAAATGACAGAGAGATACTTCAAGCTGTGCACAAAGACTGGGCACGGAAAATGGCTTGAGGGGAGCAGGCTGATCAGAAGGACCTGAAGCCATAGTTTCTGCAAATAAACCTTCTTCAGTGGACCTTGGAAACCAAGGTGGCCGTTCCACAAGCATGAGTTACACGTGCGCGTTCCTGCCAGCTTTCCTCTGCCAGGGCAGCTTCAAGGATTTTAGAGCAATCCAGGCCTGCTGCTCAGCTTGAGTGTGTAAAGTTTGGGACACAAGTTGAAACTGCAAACCATGGAAAATGGGGGGAGAGAAAGCTGAAATGTGTAGGGGGAAAAGCTGCCTCCCTTGCCTAGCATGACCCAACAGGCAGCCACCCCTGCGTGTGCTCCTCTAATTACCCGAGCCGTGKCCTGATGGCCGTATCAAAACTCAAGCTGAAACCCCTTTGAGCAATGACTGTTCTGTATCTGAACGCATCCTTTCTTAGCAAGTACTATTAAATCCTTTTTTTTTTTTTTTTTTTTAAATCCTTTTTTTTTTTTTTTTTAAATTTCAGGTTGATCAATTGTTATGAAATTTGCCTAATTTCTTGCTTGCCGTGACATTATTTTGGTCAGTTACAGTTGAGTAACTGAAAGCAGTTGGAAACAGCTGCTCACATTTCAGCAATAATTGCCAAAACCTTTTTCTGTGTGTGTGTGTCTTGATCGCCACAGCCTCCAGCTCTCTATCACAGAAACAGCGAAAAACAGGCAGCAATTATCCATGCCCTTGAATCAATCGGTGACCTGTGCTGGCTATAAGCACACTTTTGCCTTCAGCAAAGAGACAGCTTTATAAAGTAAACCCTACTGAGATAACACACAATGGAGGTTTTGTCAGCACAGACACTACCAAAGTGGTTCTGGCAACTCTAATAGTGAAGAAAATGCTTCCATCATCTCTGCGACGTTTTGTTGTTGTTATCACAGAGCTGCACAGATTACGCTTATTATTGACCCTTTCAAGAACCAAGACTACATGCTAAACCAAAGTCAACCTCATTCCCAGTGAGAGATTTCAGCAAATTTGATAACTGCTTTAAGCTTTGCAGAAAAAAAAAAAAAAAAAGAACCAAAAAAAAAAGAAACAAAAGCCCTCTTAAATCCTAGTCTCAGAACAAAAGCTAACTTACAGCTCTGGTGTCCATGTTTGCTATCTGCAAAGCTGTCTTGAACTGTGCAAGCTTCCCTACAGCCCAGCAATACACAAATGAAAAACTAATGAAAATAGGACAGTCGAGTGAGTGGCAGTGGGGATTTATACAAGAGGTAAGAGGAGACTCATTCAAATTGCAGCGCAGCACCCAGGACAAGGTGTCGCACCTGCACGCTGCCTGTGGCAGCGGCACGGCGTTTGGGGCGCAATGTGATGATGCCTTTTTGAAAGTATTTAGCCTCCCATTTTCACTGGACAACTAGATCAATTATACTGATGAAGTTAATCAGCATCAAAGAAAATGTGACAGCTGCAGCAGAGCATAGTGATGCAGACCTCTGTAATGGACCTAGATTGACTTGCTGTGAATGCAACCACATAGGCTACATTGATGTGAGGGCTCTTCATTGTTTTTGTAAGATTTATATGTATAAGAATAAATGATTGGGTCCTGAAGATGAATTTCTACCCAGCTAAAGGCTTTGTTAGCAAGAAATGGAACATTGAGCCTGCAATAAGGAAGGTAGAAAGGCTCTACCACAAGTACTTTTCTTCTACTGTGAATAGACACAAGAACAGATAGACCCCTTTGTCCACATGGTGCCCTCAAGCAGTGATTTTTTCACTTAAAATTTGCAAAATGCTCTTCAGGCTCCTGCCCCCAACATGAGGGGAC